ATATATGATGTAAGTCAAGTCATCTCCACTTTGGTTTTCTTCTCTTTAAATTTATCTTGGCTATTCTTGGGCCTTTTTCTTCCATATAAATTTTAGAATTACCCCATCAATCTCTATGAAAATAATCTGTTATGATTTTGACTGAAATTGCATTGAATTGACAGATTAATATTTGGAGAAGAGATAGCTTTATGTTGAGTCTTCCTTTCAACGAGGATATGGTATATAGCTCCATTTATTTAGATCTTTAATGCCTTTCAATAAAGTAAGATTTATACATCTTTTGTTAAATTTTTTCTTAGTTTATGTTTTGTGGTTGCTATTGTAAATGGTAAAAAAAAAAAAATCATTACATTTACTGTTTCTTGTGTATAGGAATGCAATTGATTTATGTATAACCTCTGTTTAGAACCTTGCTGAATGCTCTTATTCTAATAATTTGTCTCCAGATTTTCTTAGATTTTCTGTAGACAATCATATTGTCTGTGATTAATGACAATTTTTATTTCATTTTAGTCTTTTTTTTAAATTTTTTTTACTGTGCAAGACAGGACCTCTAATTCACTGCTGATGATAACTGGTAATATGGGCATCCATTGTCTCATTCCTGATTTTATAGGGAATGTTTCTAATGTTTTTTACCATTAAATATGATGCTTGCTCTAGGTTTTTTGTAGATATCCTCTTATGAATTGTTTATCAAATGATTTTTCTCTATCAAGATGAGCCTACCCTTTAACATATTAATATAGTGAGTTACGTTAATAGACTTTCTGTAAGTTATATTATCCTTGCATTTCTGGATAAACCAACTTTATCATGTTTTTTTTTAATCCAGAGCTGAATTATATATGTTAATATTTTGTTTAGGATTTGCACATCTATTTTGATAAATAAATTGGCCTGTAATTTTCCTGTCTGATACAGTTGTCTATTTTTCGTATCAAGGTTGTACCAGTCCTGAAAAAATGAGTTGGGGAGCGTTCCCTCTATTTCTGTTCCCTAGAAGGTTTTCTATAAGACTGGAATTTTCTGTTATTTGAAGATTTGGTAGAACTCACTATTAAAACCATCTTAGCCTGTTGTATTTACTTATTGGCCTGAAAGACAGATTTTAAATTACTGATTCAATTTCTTTAATAGATTTTGGAAAATTCAGGTTTTCTAGTTCTTGAGTCAATTTTGGTAAATTATCCTTTCTAAGAAAGCTTACAGTTTGTCTAAAACTTCAATTTACTAGCATAAAATTGTTTCTAGTATCATCTTACTACCTTTAAATCTCTGATGTATGTTTGTGATATCCCTCTTTTTATTCCTAAGTTTATTTGTGCCTTTTCTTCGTTTTTTAGTCTTTACCAAGAAGAAGCAGCTTTTGACTTTATTGCTTCCCTCTATTGAATGTTTTTGTTTCTATTTCATTATTTTAAGTTTTTATTTTTATTCAGTAACACTCTTTAACTTAAGATCTATTTTGTCAAATATTAATATATCAGTTTTCTTTTGGTTAGTGTTAACTGCTAATTACATTTGCTAATTGCATCCCTTCCATATTTTTATTTTCAATCTTTCTGTGTTTTAATGATTTTGTTATGTCTCCTGTAAACAGCATGTAGTTGGATTTTTAAAATCCATTATATAAATCTGTGACTTAATTAGCAAGTTTAGTCCAATTTATACACATTGTGTCCACGGATATATTTGGAATTATTTCTACCACTTTATGCTCTCTAATTTTCTTTGCTTCTTTTTCTTCCTTCCCTGCTTTTCCTTTTTTTGGATTTTTTAAATTCCATTTTTTGTCTACTATGTGTAAGTTATATACTTTATTTCTCTTCTTTTAATGGTTTCTCTTAAATTTTAACCCACATACTGAACTTAATAGCTCTATTCTCTTCTTGAATAATATACGGACTTTGAAAGACTTTAACTGTAGTCACCCTCCCATCATTTTGCATGGTTCATTTTTCAGTATTTTATCTTAGTCTTATTTTATTCCCAAAATTAGACATTTATATTACTGTTGCTTTATAAAGGCAATGATTGTTTATATTTATCCATAGTTGCCAGTTTCTTTGCTCATCATGCCTTCTTGTAGCTTTGATTTTTCCCCCATTCCTGAAATAAATTCTCTAGATTTTAAATTCCTTCAGTGAGAGTCTATTGTTGTTAAGCTCGGTTTTTGTTGGCCTGAGAGTGTCTGTATTCAAAAATGAAGGCAAAATAAAAGTTTAGCTAATTATAGAATTCTAGGTTAACGGTTAAGGAGCCCTGGTGGCGCAAACGGTTAAGCACTCAGTTGCTAACCAAAAAGTTAGCAGTTCGAACCTACGCAGCGGCTCTGCAGGAGAAAGACCTGGTGATCTGCTTCCATAAAAATTACAGCCTAGAAAACCCTATGAGGCAGCTCTACTCTGTCCCATGGGGTCACTATGAATGAAAATCGACTCAATGGCACCTAATAACAACAGGTTAACAGTTAATATCTCTCAGCCCTCTGAAAATATTATTGGCTTCTTTTGCTATTGAAATGCATATTCGTTTTCTATTGCTGCTGTAATAAATTACCACAGCTTTAGTGGCTTAAACCAAACAAACTTGTCTTACATTTTTGTAGATCAGAGTCTGTTATGGGTCTCACTGGGATAAAATAACGTGTGGGCAGGCTGAATTCCTTTCTAGAGGCTCTAGAGTCTATTTCCTTGCTCATCTGGTGATGGCAGAATTCAGTTCCATGCAGTTAAAGGACTCAGGTCTCCGTTCTCTTTCTGCCTGTCCACTGGGGCCCACCCTTAGCTCCTAGAAGCCCTTCTGTGGTCCTTGCACATAGTCTCCTACATCTCCAAACCAGCACAAGGAATCAAATCCTTCTCATGCTGCCATCTCTCTGACCCAGCCAGGAAATGTTCTCTCCTTTTAAGGACTCATGGGATTAGATTGGGCCTATCCAGATATTCCAGGATAATCTTCCCATCTCAAGGGTAACCATAATTATATGTGCAAAGTCCCTTTTGCCATGTAAGGTAACATATCACAGGTACAGGAGACTGGAGTGTGGACATCTTCGTTCAGGGCGAGCAGGGAGGGTACACACAAGTATTCTGCCTACCATGAGAAGTATGCTGGCAGTCTAATGGTCATTCCTTTGTAGACGATTTGGCTTTTCTCTCTGGCTGCTTTTAATATTACCTCTTTGGTGGTCTATAGTTTCACTATGATGTTTCTTAGTATGGATTTCTTTTTATTTATCCTTGTGAACATTGCCTTGCTTCCATTCTCTTTTAAAACACCCGTTGAATATATGCTAGATCTTTCATATATGTCCTCTCACCCTCAGCTCTATCCTGCACCAGAGGACTCATGTGTATACATGTGGATATCCCAGCCCTCATGTCCAAGCTCCATCAACCTCCTACACATCCTTGCAAACAGTCACCCCTTGGCCATTCTTGGTGCAGATTGTGGCACAGTCCACTCTTGTGAGAAGAGACCCAAGAAAAGGTCCTGGAAGTAAACTTGTTGCTGTTTAGGCAGAAAATTTGGGGTTCCCAGGTACCTAGTGGGTGGTCTAGGAGTGAAAAGTTCAGGATCCAGATGGGTATGTTCTCTTGGCCCTGTGGACTCTTCATGTTGTGGGGACAGGCACAGCTGGAGGACAGTCAGAGTGGGGCCCTCTTTAAGCAAGAGGCCCAAGACAGGGGACCTCTCAAATCAGGGGTCCAAGGCAGGAAGGGCCCCTCCTGCCTATGTCTAAGGGCAACACCAAATGAGAAAATAAGCAGGCTCCTTTCAAGAGGGGAGAATGCTGTTTCAGATAAGACAAGGAGGAAGAGGAAGCTGAAAACGTAAGGCCCAGGAAAATCTGTATAGGGAAATATGGATTTGAAAGTAGGCAAGACATACGTGGTGAGATTAGCTGGCCTTTACGTTCCAAATAGAACTCTGCAATCAAATTTGGGCACAGCCATAGTGGACTTAACTTTTATAGGAGCTATTCTCTCTCCCTAAAATACTCCTCCAACTCGGCTCCTTATTTGCTGCATCCTTTATTTGCCGCATCCTTTATTTGCCGCATCCTTTATTTGCCCAGCTAACCCCTACAAATTCTTCAGGTCTCAGCTTAAATTTCACTTTCTTTAGGAGGCCTTCCCCACAAGCCCTGAGTAATTTAGTCCTCTCTCCCTTTGGTTATACCTAGTCACACTTGTGAAGCTGTCCCTATCTGCCTTTCTGATTTTTTAGGCTAAAAGCTTTATAAGGATATTTGTCTTGTCTCCAGCACCATATCCTCAGTGACTGAAACACATCTGGTGATCAATAAATAGTGAATTAATAATTTGGCCTTATGGTACCAAGTGCATTGTCTTATATGGCTTTGTCATATCAAAAAGAATATTGGCAGAATACCTGCCTTTTGATGTCCTTCCACTTCAACTAATTTGTTTTACACATAATTTTTCAGAGCCAGTTACTCAGACAAAGGTGATATATATTTTTATTGTTTTAGAAATATATATAACATTTGCAAATTCAACGTTTTTCAGGTATACAATTTAGTGATATCAATTACATTAATCATTGTCTTAGGCATCTAGTGCTGCTCCAACAGAAATAACACAAGTGGATGGTTTTAACAAAGAGAAATTTATTCTCTCACAGTCCAATAGGCCACAAGTCCAAATTCAGGGCATCAGCTCCAGGGGAACGCTTTCTCTCTTGGCTCTGGAGGAAAGTCCATGT